TACTATTTCAAAAGAATGCCGTGTTTCCCAATGTTTTTTTTTGATTGCACTTGAAACATTACTTTCTCATGGTAAGTATGGAATCACCCATCCAGTACGAACACGGCTCTTTCAATTGTCTGTTCAGAATTGGCTGTTTAGATTTCAATTGCCCTTTTCCTTTTACCTTGTATCGTTTTACCTTTATGAAAGATTTTACAATGAAATAAAAGTAATGAATTTATCTCCATATGAGGTTATAAAATCTTTAGTTACTGGATTATCAGTCTCTAATTTTCTTTTTTTTTTTTAATATAGTTACCTGTGCAGTTTCTCTAGACTAAATATTTATAAAAGCTAAGTGGAAAATGTACAATATTTTTAAAAATTGTCCCATTTACTCTCTCAAATATTAGCCTGTTTGAAAGTATCTCTAATACTCTTAGCAAAATTATGGGTTCAGTGACTTCAATATTGCAATTTTTGAACACTATTCCTGATTCAGAATTCAGGAGTTACAGCATAACTCCCTTGGTCTGTCTTCATTTTCAGGGCTCTTCGGTAGGAACTGGGTGACAGGGTGTATTTTAGTTTTCTTTCCTCTGGTACTTCCCACCCACCCCTTACTGCATTTCCAGGTTTTGAAAAATCATACTGCAGCTTTCAGTAGTGTATATCAGCTTTGCGAGTATATTAGCTGCTGACTACTATTTGTTATTTCAGCAAATTGATGAGAACCATGCTCAATCCTACCCAATGACAAAAAAAATAGTATAAAACATGATATGATAAAAATATATCATACCCCAAATTCTTAAAACTGGTGTTTTATTCCTTTGCTATTTTGACTTCACTTCTTTTTACTTTATTGCTAAGACACTTAGATATAGCTTAAGGTGCAAAGGTTGTGGTGTTACTAAATCAATGTCTAATCTTGTAAGGAACCTGAAAAAGAATAAGCAGCACCTTTCTCTGTTCATCAGAGGTATTAAGTCTGATTTTTCAGATTTAAAAAACAGAGAGAGCATCAAGTTCACTTAACCAGGATAGTACTGGCATATTAGTCCAAGCTCCTTCACACTCATGCAGCAAATCAGAACAGACATTCAGACAGATTAAAGGTGTGCTCTGCCACCAAATATTTTAATACCAGATACACTTGAATTCTGCAGCACTTTAATTCCACAAATCCTGACCTGTCTCTGTAATTCTAAAAGGCAAACACAAATGTGTTAATCTTCTGTAGATATTTTCTTCATGCTTCTGTTGAGACCTTGTTTAATACAGCCTACAAAGGTCAGCATTTTTAATATACTCTGTAGGTCTTAACCATCAGGTTTAAAACATCTCCTTTTTTATGAAAATGTCTGTTTAAAAACGAACAGCATTTTCCTCTGGGGGTTTCATAGTGGTTTAGGTTTATGGCTATTCAATTCTATAGAAAAGAAGAAAAAGCCAGTGCCACTATCTAAGTCTTCCAGGCTTCTGCTCTCACTTAATTGTCTGTATGTAATTTGTGCCTTTTACTAGCAGTTAATTTTGTAAAATGTGAATTTTATTCAGCAAAGCAACAGACTGTGATCACTGTGCTTATTCATGTAGGCCACTGAATAGCCTTTGAAGAATGGTGACCTTCGCTTTAACTTTGTTTTTAAAATAAAGTTTTAAAATCATCAGTTTTAATTTCCACATTTCACTATTTAGAGTTCTGCCATATTTCATACATTGATTTTTGTCTATCTGCAAGTCCAAGGCTATTCCTTGAGATTACTTGCAAAGATTGCTTTCATTTTGAATTTAACATGCAATCTACTGGTGGAGTAAAAAAAAAACACAGCAGAAAATAATTACAAGTTTAAAAAAGAAGCAAAAATGGTCAATAATTGTGAGTACACACTGCAGTTACTGACTGACCTTTCAGAGACTGTAGAGTTTATTGCTTCAAGGTCTTAGTGGCAGCAGTGAGTGTCAGTAGAGTAAACCATAGCAACTTCTATTTTTCCTGCTATTATCATACCATAAGTATAAACATGGATTGTAGGAAAATGACATTTTGAGACCAAGTGGAGACTGAGGGAGAAGTATGTATACTTTTAAGCAAAACACTTTATAATCTTTGCTTGATAATCTTTCTTGTTTCTTGGTGTTTGGATAAGAATGAGCTATATATGGCTCATGTTTTCATAGTCAAGGGGTTAAGTCACCAGTAGGAGCAAATCTCAGACAGGCCTCATGATTCTGTCATAGCTTGATGTCTGTAAATACACAGTAGAAAGTCATCATTTATGCATCTGTTAGCTTTCTATCTTATCTCAGGGAACTGAGAGCTTCTGCTTTCTAAAGAGATGCATTTGGAAATAACAATAGAACCTATAAAAATGTTATATTCCTATCATTAAAAATATTTTTAAAAACCCTAAACTCCACTCTGATAGAATAAACAGCAACAGCCTTTATTTATTGGGAAAATAAAAAACATAATCTCTGAAAATTCAAATCAGCTTTGAGAATCTCAAATTTTTTGTGGAAGGGAAGGCAATGTTTTTTTATTTGGCACAGCTTTTAAAAGCTGATTTGGGGTAGCAGCAGGTAATATTAAAATATTACTGTTGTAATAGAAGCAAACAGTATTAGATGATGTGTAGAATTTAGAAATTAATTTTCTGTTTTCTATTTTATGATTCTGTGAAAATCCTAGCTGCTTCTGTTGAGGACAAAGGATTTCTTCTTTTAGGGCTCAAGTCTTATCTTGCTTCTCAACACTATGTAAGGCAAAATATGTTTCAGAATTTGTCTCTCAATCTAAAGAAACCAGATAAGCAATTTCTATACAGAAATATAATCTTTCTGACAGTGCAGCAGACATGTAAGCTCTTCTCTTTCAAAGTTATTTTGCTACTGGTTTGATACAAAGAATAAACACAAATAGTAAAACTACTTGACACAAATAGTGCCAGAACTGTTAGTTGGTCAGAGCTTGGAGAAACAAAATATTATTTGAAAGGAGCAGCTCTGTTAGTAGCCATGTATTTTAAACTTTTAAGAAACATTTCCATAAACACTTATAACTTGTGCTCTGTGCATGGCTTTGTGTATATAATGTAACACTGTGTAGAAAAATGCTGGATTTTGTTTGTGTTGCTACACCTGTATTTTTTTTTCGTATGGAACTCATTTATGTGTTTTATATCATCCTCATTTCCACTCATCCCCTAATGTTAGCAGGGATTTGATCATTGAGTAAACATATGGATGCAAGAACCAAACCACTTGTGAACTACAAAGTTTATAAAAGTTTGCTACTGGATCTCTTTTTGAAGAGTTTGATAGATTTAGAAAATAATTAGTTTGAGAACACTTCAGGTTTATTGTGGTCATCCTTAACAAACAGGCAGACTTGTAGTTATGTTCATTAGAAAAAAAGTAACATTTGCTAATAAAAATCAAGCTGCAGTGAACTTTCATCGGGCAAATTGTTTCCCAAATTAAATCTGTAATAACCCTGTAAAGGCAACTGCACTTAAACAACAGTGGATTTGGGTTATCTTTCATTATTTAATGTTCTGGGGTGAACTCGGGTTCTTTCTACTCTTTTGGTATTTAGTACCAGGTAACTGCTCTTCTAGATGAACGGAATCTTATTTTGCATTAAAATTCATGGTCAAAACTGACTCTTGTGGTGTCTCCTCAGGCTCAGACAGGCATTTTGGCCCGTATATTAAATAAGTGGTTTGTTCGATTTGTCTGTGTTTTTCGAATTTGAATGGACAGACTAATCTCTCTAAAAGGTGGGGCTGAATATGTTTTCAGGGGGAGCACTTGAAGTTAGGGTCTTGCAAGGTAATTTTTTTTTTTCCTTTGATGATAAAAGATGCTCAAAGAGCCACATGTCTTAATAAGTATTCCCATGGATTGAAAAAGGTATCAAGAAGAGTTGTCTGGACAATATGGTTCATGTGACATATTTCAGTTTAAATCACTGTTTTCTTTTGAAAAATGTTAATCTGTCAGCATAAAGTTTAGTACTGAAAATGTTTCCTATCAATAACAGGAACACTCATCTTGGAAGCTTTTGTCTAGCTGTATATTATTAAAGAACTGGGATGGTTTCCAGAGCTTTCCAAAGCCTTTCAGACTTTTTTATTGGTAAACATGTTAATATAATTTCTGCTAACCTTATTATGCTTCCCATTTTCAATTCTCTTTTGACTTGTAGTCTAATTTTTTCCCCTTTTTTCTTATCTTTTCAATCCTACTCTGGATAGTCTTTGTCAAGAAAACTGATGAAAATTTTCTGAAAGAATAGCCTCTGAGTTCAATTTGAGAAGATAAATTGGTCTGGGGGAAAAAAAAAAATCCTGGATAATTTCTCAAAATTAGTATTGGAAAAATGTCGTACTCTACATATCTTGACTTAGTTTAATTAAAAGTCTTCTGTATTTTCCAAGAGTGTGATATTGGTTTTTTAAGAGGTGTATATGGTTTGACAGATATTTTTGCCCCACAAATGAAAGTAGACATATTTACAAAGAAATAGTGAACTTCCTTGCAAAAAAAAAAAAAAAAAAAAAAAACTTGAATTTCAGTTTATTTACTGTCTAGCTACTAGGATTTCAAATAGTCATCCGACTCAGCAGGTGGTAAAGGTAGTACATCAGAGTAGGGTTTAAAAGAAGAAAATGTGAAGGCAAAACATAACAGAAATCATTCCTGCTCTGATAATTCAGGAGCCCATAAAAAAAATCTTTTGAGAGATAGATTGATATTCCAGGCTTTGTAACTATGGTTGTTTAGCTATTTGTTGTGATTAAATAATTAAATAATTTGCTATTTGACAGTGGATTTTGACAGCTGCATATGTACTCTTTGTCAGATAGAGCGGGTAAACAATTTTTGGCATGTATATTATTTGCTAGGTACTCATTTATTGCATGACATATTTTTGTAGATAAATAATAAGGTATTTGCCTATTTGGCTAACAGGACATTTTGGAAAGGAAAATAATGAACAAACAATAGAAAAAATCACAGCTGGTACTGATCATCCAGCCAGTGTATTCTTCGCTGTAGGAAGGCATGGATATTCATGTAAGCATCAATTACTAGTGGACACCAAGTACAACAAAATGGTGTTAGAATATTCAAGAGAAGACAAGAAGATGCTTACAGTAAAATACTTATGTTACAGAAGTGGGAATATTAGCGTGAATGTGCCATTTTTCCAGCCAATACTAAGTAGAAATAAACCTTCAACTGTCTCTCATCAAGTCTCAAGCAAAGTTATGGAGATGGGTCAGAAAGCCAAACCAAAATTATTGATATAATGTCTCTTCTTAATTTCCAAATATATGTGAAACTTTTAAGGCAAGGTGCCTTCCCTCTTGTCCATTCCACCTTCTAGGCAGAGAGAATGAGATGCTACATTGTAGAAGTATTGATTTATTTTATTTTTTTCTGTGAACTCAAATCTTAGCTAAGACAGGATTGATTTAAGACAGTAAGAACTCATAGTTCTTGGCTTTCTGCCAGCACTCATGTTAAAACATTTATGGAATTAATGATGAATTTCTTGTACAACTGTCCTTTTGCATCTTGATTCACTAGACTGAGTGTAGGAAGTAAGCGTCAATGGCAAATAACAAAGTAACTATTTCAAAGAGCTGCCACATGTGTTACATTTTTACAAATCGTTATTGACTGGAATTGTTGAGTCAGAGAAAGTGCTTTTCCTGCTGATATATAACATGTCTATGTGCAGAAGCTGAAATTGTCTTTGTGTTCACACAAAGTGTCTTGTACTGACTGCTAAAGACCATAGAGATTTTACAGGTTTGTTTGTTTGTTTGTTTTTCGGTTGTGGTTTTTTTTGTTGTTGTTTTTTGGGGTTTTTCTGGTTTTTGTTTGTTTGTTTGTTTGTTTGTGGGTTTTTTGTTTGTTTGGTTTTTTGTTGGTAGGTTTTGGTTTCTTGTTTTTTTTGTTTTTTTTTTTGTTTGTTTGTTTGTTCGTTTTGTTTTGGTTTTTTATGTGTTTTTATCTTATGTGTTTTAATGCCTGTGAATACCATGTTCTTTTGATGTTCCACAGATTTCATGAAGAATGTAAGACTGAGTAGAATATAAAAGTTATGCAGCTTTATCATAGTTTGACTTCAATCGTTGGTTTTTATCAACCCATTCACGACAAAAAAATGGTAATTTTTTTCCCCCTACATCATTGCTGCTTTCAGTGGCTAAATGATGTGGGGAGAACGTAAAAGGCATGACTTGGAAAATAAGATTGTCCTCACATTTTTACAATTGCAGTACTTATGCAGCACAAGCAAATGCACTTTTTCCTATGTCTAGTCCTGCTTAATGGGGATCACAGTGTCAAATTGCATTTTGACACAAGAAATATAGATGGAAAATTCAGATTGGATGAGATAATATTACCTGTATAAACTTTGTCTCCTTCTCATTGATATGCAAGTTTGTTCTGCAGTTTTGGAACTGATGATAAGGTTCTAATTAATCTCTAGAGTATTCATGTGTACAATAGGTTGCTCATTAGTCTATCAACTTTCCATGAAACTAATGGGCTATTTCTCATGTCGAATGTGGGAACTGAAATGACACATGTTAATTTGCCTTCCAGATGTTGCAACTGCCTGTCCAGACAAAAAGTCCATCTTAATGTATGTGACTTCACTCTTTCAAGTCCTGCCCCAGCAAGTCACCATGGAAGCCATCAGGGAGGTGGAGATGCTACCACGGCACTCAAGGGTCACTAGAGAAGAGCACATAGAAGTACATGAACAGCATTTTTCACAAGAAGTGAGTTTCACTTTTCTGCTTTCATCTTGCTGCTCTAAAGTGGTTGTTTCCCTGCCTACCCCATGAGCTTGATGTTAAATGGCCAGTGGCCAGTGGAAGCCAAAAACCCCATGGGCATAATGGGCAAAGTCTCATCAACAGGCAAGTCAAATGTGCTCCTCTGCATGTATTTCATACTGGCTTTCATCTCACACCAGACTGTTTTAAAAATTACTATTTAGCAAGTAAGTGCTTTGCACTTGAGCTGTACAACTTTGCACATTTTGATGGTGACAAGCCTCAAGGACAAAACAAATTTGGGGAGGCTTACATTTAAAAGCAAATAGAAACATCTTTACCTTTTTAGAGAATAGCTATTGACATTTCTCCATAGTCATGACATATTTTTATTTTTTTAGCATTTTATTTACAGTGACTTAATTTTAAAACAATTTCACTTTACTGTTATCCTCTCAAAAAAATCATGCAATATTTGGAATTAATTTATGATTGCAATGTCAGTTTTTTGAACTGAAACTATCAGACAGCCTCTGCTGAAGTGTTTACTGCATTTTAGGCTTAGTTTACTTGCCTGAATTTAATCTTTATGTTGGGTATGGGATGCTCACTCTCTTTTAGAGTACTGAACAGATAAATATCGGCTCTGTTTATTCAAGTTGTGACAAAAGATCACTTGCTTTTTGAGCCTTGCTTGTAAATTATAAAGAAGCTTCACTTTACATTGTTATTCTGCTGGTGTTGAGTCCTGACAGTTTGTTGCTTTTGGTAAGGGTGTCAGATTAAATGAGAGGTTTCCTTAATACCATCCCATTTTGCCTGCTGAATACCAACGCTGTCCTTGAAAAATGACTTTTCTGCTTCTTTTTCTTCAGTTGCTCTTAAAATCAGTATTTACTTCTACAATCCATGCTCCTACCCATATGTACATTCTGATTTATTCTTAGATCACAGTCAGTGTACCCCAGGGACCTTCGCCTTCTCCTAAACCGCGGTTCAAAAGTTACGCGTATGCACAAGCTGTGTATGTCACATCCCCTGACCAAAAAAGGAGGCAGGTTCCTCCACAGGTCTGTCAGTATTGCAATTTTTTGAGAAAGTTGTTAAGCTCGTGCTTGGAGTGTGCATTTTGCTTCCACCTGATCTTAATGACCTGCTTTTTCCAGGACTTTTTTCCTGTCAACTGGTTACTTTTTCCTGTGTATTTCTGCATGGCTGGCAGTAGCTGTTGTGCTGATTGTAGGGGAAGATTAACATTCAAGCACTGCTGTTTCAGAATCATAAACTTCTTTCTTTGTTCAGCCATTTTTGAAAGTAGTACATACATTGCCTTAAAAAAGTATTAGAAGAACAAATCTAACATAAGCTGTATTTGGCATCTATTATATTACAGCCTCAGGTTTAGTTATAAAATAAAAAAAATAAAATAAAAAAAAGAGCCATTAGCTTTCTCTTTCTTTTTCTAACCCTTCCTGTTAAAGAAAATAGTAAGTGATGGCATTTCTCAGAAGGTTACTGTAGTTAGAAAAAAAAGGTGAAACAAACATTAAATTTAACCCTGGCTTATTAGATTACAACAGCTGGTTATTTCTATCACAAATGACATCTTGCTGGTACTGAGGTTAAGGGGTTATATTTGATTTTTACTTATTTTATTTTTTACTTTTAAATAGCTGGGGTGTTTTAATAAAGCTTGTTTCTAGTAATCCTTATAATGAGAATTTCTGTAGTTGAATTTTTATAACTTCTGACAAGTATGAGACCCAAAGGTCATATTGTGTACTGCAGTGTGCTTTCCTTTCATTACTTCAGGGAGAAAAGATCTGTGTGTATGTGGTGCTACAGTTTGAGTTTGCCTCTGGGTGCTTAATTCTGTCCAACATCTAAAAATCTATTGCAAAATTATACTTCTATTCAACATTGTGTGTTCAAATCTACTGTTCAAGTGACAGGTATTTTATTGAATAATGACTTCCCTTAAATACTCCAGGACAGAAACCCTGCACACACAAGCATGAGCCCTGCTACATTATTCTAACATTAAATGTATGGCAGTGATGAGTCACACAGCTCTGAAACAAGATGTTTAAAACTATGGTAACTGTTTTGTTCTACTTAGACACTAAACAGACATTTTAGAGTAATAAAAAGTTATTATATAAGACAGTATTTTTCTTTTTCTAGGGGTGCTTTTATTGTGATCAGTTGCAGGCTTTGTAAGCATATCTACCATCAAAACTAATGTATAAACTGAAATAAATGAAGTCATTTCTACCAAGCCTGGTAGCTGAAATTTACCGAGATATGATTTGATCATTCAGTCTGCATCTTGTATTCCAGTTTTCAGAACTCTTCTTCCTGAATTTTGAAACTTCATCTACTACACTTTTATGCAATAATTAATACAATGTATTATAATCCTACCAATTTGTCAGAAGCTGAAGACCTAACCAGAATCTGAGCCACATTGTGCTACAGCCACAACAAATATTAACAAATGAAAAGCCTTCACTTAAGAATCCTTTGGGAAAACCACCAGGCAAATTCTCATCATAATCAAGATAAACTTGGATTATAAATAATAGCAATTAACATCCCAAATGAATATATGGAATTCTTAGTCAGTGGGGTTTTTTTGCCTTTGGCTATGTATTTCTTAAAGAAGAGCTGTTACCTATCTATTAAAGCAAGTTTATAATTCTGGTTAATAGCAGTTGATATTTTTTCTCCAGATACATGGGGCTGGTATAATTTAATAATCCCATCTATTTTAACTAAATAAAATAAATATTATTTCCTTTTCATTTCTTAGTAGTCTTTCAATTTTCTGCCAGCTATATTATGATTTTTGGATGCCATTATAAATAATGCAACTGCCTTAACATTTTCAGTAAAATTTACTTTTCTAAGGGACTATAATAAAGATTTCAAGAGGAATTCAACTTTTTTTTTCTTGGATTTTGTAAAGTTTAAGAAAGTGACTCTCATTTCCATCTAGTTATTAAAGAAAAGTTTATTAGATTTAGTTGGCTGTGGCCTGCCAATTTCCATGGTGTTTTCAGTGCTATCATGGATAAGAAATTCTCAGAAAATATTTTGATCTTCTGTTGAAATAATGAAATCATTCTTTTTCAATCTCTGCAAACTTTCAGCTTATAAGACATGAATATTATAATTTTCCCAAAATAATCGTAATTAAATAAGACCTCTTTCCAAAGATTTTGATCAAGATCCAGCAAATTTGACCGAATATGACTTTTTATACATGTCATACATTTGCTTCATATGTCAGTTGTCAGAAATTTTAAGAGGTATGAACTGTGATTCTCTGAGTTCCATATTGGCAAGAAGGAATAACATTTGCTTTCACACCATCATTTGTCAAATTCTTTCTCTTCTATCTTCTCCCCTTGTCTATTATTTTATGTCACATTTCACTTCATTTCACTTTCCTTATCTTCACTCTTCCTAGTAGCTCCACAACTTGTGTACCTTCAAATTCACCCTTCCTTTCTAATTCTTACTCTATCACTCAGGAGGGTACATGCAAGACCTCGTATTTCCATCGTGCAAACTGTGACCAGACAAATTTTGCTTTTTTTAACTGTGACATTTTCCAAATCCAAAGACAATGGATTGCAAACCTGTTCACCCTCTGCCTTCTTGTTCAGTCAGCACTCCACCACTTCTGGTTGAACCAGTGAAGCATTTTCAAATGCCAGAGGTAACATGAATAGAGCTTTTCTCCTAAAATTCAAGGAAAGTTTTCCTCCTTTACCATGTTTACTAAGACAGTGTTCATAAACTCATGAAGATCTTGGGACAGGAATCAACTTCTCGAACCTGAATCCTTGAATTTCCTGAATGAACACTAAAAAAGGTCCAACAGAAAATATTTATGTTGACAGTTTTTTGGATAGTAGTTACTGCTTGGCAACTACAAAAGGCTTACCTGAATTTGCAGGTGTGTATTTTGTCTTCTGTACATTCTCTGTAATAAGGCTTCACTTACAAATGTTCAGCTTAACGTACAAATAAAAGGTTCCTCAGGTTAATTTTCTGAGACATTTCAAAATCCTTATCTAAAACTAGTCATTGTTTTCTCTTTATATTCATGAAAGCACTGGGGTTTGTGTTATTGATTTATCTTATTGAACACCTGACTAAGAATGCTGTGTTTTGGTTTATCAGATTATTGATCCCAGGCAAAACTCCTATCTCACTGCTTTCATTTGTACTATGTCCACAGAACATAAAATATACAGCCTTAAGTGGGTTCAAGGTAAAAAAATAAATTGGGAAACACTGTACCTGGAAAATAAACTTTTTATGTTATGGTATCATAGAATCATTTAGTTTGGAAAAGACACTTAAATGTGAGTCAAACTTACCCTAACACTGACAAGTCCACCACAAAACCGTATCTCTAAGCCCCTCATCTACAGGTCTTTGAAATTCCTTCAGGGTGGTGACTCTACCACTTCCCTAGGCAGACTGTTCTGGTGCCTGATAACCCGTACAGCAACAAAACTTTTCCCACTGTCCAATCTGAACCTCTCCTGGCACAACTTGAAGCCATTTCCTCCTCTTTTATCTGTTGTTATGTGGGAGAAGAGGCTAATCTCCACCTCACTACAAATTGTCTTCAAATAGTTGAATAAGTGATAAGGTCTCCAAGGTCTCCCCCGAGCCTCCTTTTCTCCAGGCTGAGCACCCCCGGCTCCCTCAGCTGCTCCTCATCACACTTGTGCTCCAGACCCTCCCCAGCTCCATTGCCCTTCTCTGGACTCACTCCAGCCCCTCAATGCCTCTCTTGTAGTGAGGTGCCCAAAACTGCACACAGGGTTTGAGGTGTGGCCTCACCAGTGCTGAGCACAGGGGGACAATCCCTGCCCTGGTCCTGCTGCCACACTATTGCTGATCCAGGCCAGGTGCCATTGGCCTTCCTGGCCCCCTGGGCACACCTGGCTCATGCTCAGCTGTTGTTGACCAGCACCCTCAGGTCCTTTTCTTCTGGGCAGATTTCCAGCCACTCTGTCCCAAGCTTTAAGACTTTCCTGGGCTTGTTGTGACCCAGGTGCAGAACTTGGCACTTTGCCTGGTTAAACCTCAGGCAATTGGCCCATCAATAAGCCTGTCCAGATTCCTCTGCAGGACCTTCCACCCTCCAGCAGATCAATATGCCAACCCAACTCGGTGTCACCTGCATACTGATTGAGGGCAAGCTCTATTCCTACTGAAAAAAAAGAGTGCTCAAAATATAATCATTGAAAAAATGGGGATGAACAAAATCTGTGAGTATTTTGAGACTGGTAGTTCTGTAAATAAGCTCCTGACAGGTCCTGTCAGAAAGGTGAGTCTGAGTTTGGCTGCCTTAAATTACCTATTCAAAATCAAGCCCATTGATCTCTATGATTGTAGAGTTTTGTTCTTTTGGCAGGAGTTATGTTTTCTTCATTACACATTTTATGAAATACAGTTTTTGTGCAGAATTACTCTTTAACATTTCAACTGATAAGATTCAGCGCATTTGAATTGAAATAATTTGAGATGAAGCAGTGGTAAATGGGGACAGTATTTACTGGCTCATAATGATTTGATTTGGGTCCTAAGAACTAGGGCCTTCACCTCAGGCTTCAACCTTGTCATTATTAGTTTGTGAGAAATTCCTAACCATCCAGTCATTACTTGTGTTTACAGAAGTATTGTAATGCAGTTTGCATGAGTTGTCTGGGTTTTTTAATGTGCATTTTACCAAGTTTCTGTATGGGACTTTGTCAGTAAGTTCATAACTACAATAATTAACTTGAAAATCATGAAAAGTTCCCTATAAAATTAAGCTGAATTTATTCCCACAATACAGAACCCTTCTGTCAGTTTTGCCCTTGAGAATGATGGTTTTCTAGACCCTTAATTTGGCACACTCTTGGTCTTCTGCCAGCAATTTAACTTTTTTAAAACTGCTCTGAGACTTCCTTTCTGGGACTCTTCAGGATTTGTCTGTGCCAAAGAATTTAGTGGTACAGCATCACAGGATTGTTTAATTGCTCTCCTTTGTACTAAACCAGATCTTTCTTTTACTTACAAGCTGTGATCTAAATAGTGTCCTGTTTACGTTATGGTAAAGTTCTCTTTTGGAGAGTCAAGACTGTTAAATACAGTGAAATAGAAGTTTAGTTCTAGTTTTGTTAATTTTTCTAATGTAAGATAATTATCATAGAAAATATCCTATTGTGTCAACATTGGGAAGATTTATGGCATAATTTAAAGTAGAATTCGAGAAACTTCAGAAACACTGAATTATCTACATATTTAGTCATTAAATCATGATGGATATATTTTAGGCAACAAGTATAATGATAGTTCCAAGTGTTATGTTATATGTTCTCATTTAAATAGAAACTCTCAAAAAACTAGGAACTGTTTCTATAAAGCTAAGTAAAATCCCCAGGATTTAGCCTAAGCATAATAAAATAGCAAAATTTGCCACTAGAGGTCAGAACAAGGAAAAGGAGAGATTGAAAAATCAAGCTAAGTGCAAGTCTTCTGGATTTCTTAGGGAGCTCTCCCGCATGCTGTGTGTTCAAGGAACATTTTGAAAAATGATGAAACAAACAGTTTCAAGTGTGTTTATAATTTTTTATATTTTCAATAACAGTCTGGAAAATAGATGGCTTCTTGTCTGAGCCTGGAGGTCTGTCAAGATGACAGTTGTTTCCTGTCACTGCTTTGTATGTAGACACCAGCAGCGGTTCTAACTCATTTTTCTTTGTTTATGTTTGTTTTGTTGGGGTTTTTAATGTTTTTGTTCAAGAGTTTTTGTTGTCAAAAATGTTAGTACTCTCATGGCTAAGTGATAACTTGTAGTGGATCTAGTTTCCAATATATCAGAGCTTTTAGTCTACTTTATTTCACACACACATTCATTTGGTTTTCCCCAGAGCTGAGCTTATGAGGTTTCAATTTCCCTTCCAGGGCAGAGAGGTTGCTACTGGTCCAGCCATCAGGCTGAGCTCTGCCACTGCTTTGCCTTTACAGATGTTGGACATCACTGCCCAAAATTCTTAGGCATCACCTGCTACTTGTCTCCACACACCTCTCTGTTGACCAGCAACAGCACAGGGGGAAATGATGTGAAGCTGCATCAGGGGAAGTCCAGAGTGGACATGAGGAAAGGGCTCTTCATGAGAGGGGGGTCAGTGAGTGGAACTGCCTCCCCAGTGAAGTGGTCATAGAACCAGGCCTGTAAGAGTTCAAGCAGAGTCTGGATGTTGCTCTTAGTCATATGATTTAGTTATATGTAGTCCTGTGAGCAGCAGGGAGATGGAACCAATCCATTCTGATTTGAGATATTCTATAATTCTCTGATCTACAGGATCTTTTCTTACTTCCAGGATCTTTCTTCTAGTCAGCATCTTTTCCACCTTATTTCCAAATCCCATTCTCTTTGACACAAATTCTTTTCAGGATGCTTCTTTTTGTCAGCAGGAGATCTTTGCATAACCATGAAACCACAGCTTTCCCAGTCTAAACAGTCTCTGGGCAGAAGCACAACTCATGATCAGTCTCACCAGGAGGGCTTCTGTCTTCTGCCTCTTCAATAATGGCAGGATTTAGAGCATGCTAAACCACATCTAGACCATTTGTTAAGTAAACTTACAACCAGTCCCAGCTGCTTGTAGCTGGCAAGTAGCAGGAATCAGGCCAGAAGTGTGATTCCAGGCTTTCGGCTGCCTCTGCTCCAAACATCTTGGAACTGTACCAGTTCCTGTTTGCATTCACTAGTGAAGGTGGGGTTTTTTCCACTCCTAATGGGTAATGACAATTCTTTAATTTGTCATAAAAAGGCGATTACTTATTGACTTTCTCATCCCTTTTTTACCTTTTGCTTTTAATTTACCTTAAGAAACATGCAAGAGAAACCTTTAATTTTTATGTAAATCTTTATCAACTATTTTTTCCCCTTAAAACAGCTGTAAAGCCTGTTTAACAAGGGACACTAGAAATGTAATGTGGAATTTCCCTTGTGATCTGTTAGTGTATTCCTTACTGACTGATAAGAAAAGGTATCATGTTTTTCATAGTTAAAATTTCTAGATAAAACATATCTACTCTATATTCAGATTGAATCTATTAACTGAATAAATTGATAATGTCATAATCATGAATGTGTCTATAATTGGTTGGAAATATTTAAGAGCAAAACTGTTTTCTAAGAAGTAAACTTGATTTGCATTGCTTTTAAAGTGGAAGGTTTCTGTGATTTTCTTTTCCTATTGGAAGCGTGGAAATGCTCTACCAGTCATTTCCTGATTACATGGCTGGTGAATGTATTTTTGAACAGACAACTGTACATACTTTCAATAACACACTTTTACCTTGACTGTTTCTTTTTCCTTATAAGTTATTCTTAGGTAATTTTAACTAGTTTCAGTGCTATTTTAAGTTCCATCTGTTTTGTGGGGATTTTTTTGTTTTGTTTTGGCTTTGTTGTTGTTTTTTTTTTAAAGCACACTTAACAAGAGTTTCTTAATTTCAAATTTGAACAATGATACAACTGCTTATTTTTTAGAAAAGTCTGTTTTAAAAGTTCTAACGTGCTGAAAAGCAGTTTATAAACCTGAAGCTCTGCATTCAGAACAGGAGAAAAAAAACCTACTGTGAGGTGGTTGGTTATAATTTTGACTGATTCACAGCTTTTGATTTATTATTCAGAGTATGTAGTTACAAGCAAGGGAGTTACACTACAGAATTATAAAAAAAACCCCAAACATTAAATCACTCGATCCTTTTCTGTAACATGCTTTTGGTTGGCTTTTAATTTTAAATTGAAAATATATTCATTGCAGTGGCTTCCATTGAAGAAGGAGAGCTGCTTTAATAGAAACTAGAATATATTTTGGGAGAGTTTAAATGCAAAATGGATAAACCGCATAAGAGCCGTGAATGGGTATTCAGCTTATTCAAGCAAATTTCACTGCTAAGATTTTAGATGACTTTGCAAAACCACCTATTTTAATAATTCCTTCCAACTCTAATAGCACGATTCAACACATGTTGTTAAATACTCTGAAATCTCCAGGACCTCAACCTCAACTTCACAGAAACTCTGTCGTATATCCACTAATTGGCTCTTGCCTCAGAATCTTTATTTCTCAAAAGAAAAAATTATCCTGGAGATGTATCTCGTTGAAGTTAATTGCTGAGGCTGTTGATGCTTTTGAAGGCGTTTTGATATTGCATTATGTGAAAATATAAAAAGAGTTTCAAAGTTAAATATTCTTATTGAGAAGACTGGAGGGTTTTTTATGGTCTGAGTAACACAGATTTTGCTGACAGCGGTAGCAGAAGAGAGAATAGGGGGAAAAAAGAGTAAGAAATAACAAGTGAATGGGATGCTGGAAAGAGAAGGCTACCTTTTCTTCCAGAAGTATGGAGCCACATTTATACATTTTTATACTTTTTTTTTTTTTTTTTTTTTTTTTTTTTTTATGAGGCT